TAAGGTTGCGTAGAGAAGCGTGCTCGGGGTGGGGGATGGGGGGGAAGGGATGGGGGAATTGTATACCAATGAAGGAAACTTTTTTCTTTTTCTTTTCGGAGAGGGAGCGAACTGATGGGGAGGGGTGGGCAGGGAGAAAAGTGCGGCAATGAATGAATGGAAATCCAAAATCTCTGTAAATGTTTATTAAAATTAATAAAATAAAAATTTTTAAAAAGAATCACACCCTTTAGTTTCCAGTGCAGCTCCTTATAGGCCACCAGAGCTCACTTCAAAGTCCTAAAGAAACAGGAGCCCTTCCCCACACATTTAACCCAACCTAGAAGAGTATTGAATGTATCACGGACTGCCAAGAAAACAAACAGATTCACCCTGGAGAGGGTTAAATCAAGCTACTCATTGGAGGCAAGGATTCTGGGGCTTTGTCTGACATACTTTGGGCATGTTACAAGGAGGGACAGGTCCTTGGAGAAGGACATCATGCTTGGGAGGGTGGAGGGACAGCGCAGGAGGGTAAGACCTCTATGAGATGGATTGATTCAGTGACTGGGGTAATCGGGATGGGTGTGTCAGAGGCGGTGCGATTGGCACAGGATAGAGCAAGGTTTAGGGCTGTTGCACATAGGGTCGCTATGAGTCACAAACAACTCGATGGCATGTAACAACAACAACAAAAATACTCCCTCAGAACCTCCCTTGGGGAAACAGATTTGGAAAACTCAGGCCTATCTCAGTCTCCTCTGTAACTTTGCTACTAGAAAAACTACCATTTTCCCATCAGATAGAGTGGTGGGAAATCTTAGAGGTGGGGGTTGGAACAACAATAACAGAAAAAAGGAGATGTGTTATATAAAGCTGTATAGGAAATGGGCTATGAACTTCGCAAATCTGCCTCAGCAAGAGAAGGGTATTTTTATTTTAATTATTATTTTTTTTTATTGTGTATTATCAAATTGGATCTGACTTGTACAGGAGGAGATAGCCCCTCCTTCTCCAGCAACGCATCTGGTGGATGGATTGGAACAGCGTACTTCTGGGATTGCAGTGCAGCTTCTTGCCACTAGGCCACCAGAGCTCCCTAAGATAAGGTTTTGAGGGAGCATTTTTAGCTAACCTACCAATTCAGGATCTGGGGCGGGAACACATGTTTATTTAGAATTCTTTAGGAAGGAAGGGCAGGGTTATCTTGGAAAAGGTTGTGTTTGTTGCTGTGTGCTGTCAAGTCGACTACAACCTATTGCTCCACAGATCTGAACAGATCCTGCACCATCTTCAGCATCTCTGCTATGCTCAAACCCATTGTTAAAATCACTGTGTCAAAAACAAAAAACAAAACAAAACAAAAATCACTGTGTCAGTGGCCTAGTGGCAAGAAGCTGCACTGCAATCCCAGAGGTGCACGGTTCAAATCCACCAGATGCTCTGCCGGGAAAAGGAGGGACAATCTCCTCCTGTACCAGACAGATCCGATTTGACGGTACACACACACACACACACACACACACACACACACACTAATAATAAAAAATATAAAAAAATATCACTGTGTCAATCCACCTTTCCTTTCCCAACACGATGTCCTTTTCCAAGGAATGCACCCTCCAGACAACATGCCCAAAATATATGGCATGAAGTTTTCACCATCCTGGACTCTGAGGGGCACCTTCGAAAAGGAGAGCGCTGCAAACAGGGGATGCCTACAGCGGACCCCAAGGTGGCACCTGCAGGTTAGGCTTTGTCATCACAGGACGCGCTGGAGGTTTTCCTCCTTCACAGTGGGGGTTAGGGCTTATCACAAGATAGATAGTCACTGTGACTGCCGTGTCTTTTTTTCTTACTTCCTTCATTAGACCACGGAAACAGAAGTTGTTAGTAATGCCAGAGGTCATTTAGAAAGGACACCTAGGGGAGTCTGCCTTGCGAATATACTTTTTTAGGAAACAAAAGGTAGTTTTATTCAGTGCATTAATAGAGAAAAAAAAATAGATCAGCACGGAAATAGAAGAAAGTCTGAGTGTCTGAGCAAATCTAACAGTAGTTCAGTTAAAGTTTCCAAATCACTGAAAAAGTTGTCTTTGCTGAAGGGTCAGAAGGTTCTATCAGCTCCGGAAAAAGAGTGGATCTCGGCTCAGGATCAGTGTGGAGAGGAAACCACCCGAGGACTTGATCTTGATAAGGAAGAATTCCTCAATTATCCTTCTAGGCTAAAATTAAGGACTTGAACCTGCTATTACCTTCGACTCTAAATTTTAATATGTTGTTTGAGGAATGTTAGTTTCAACCTATAACAGTATTTTAAAATCTAGTTTCCCTGTACGTGGCTCCGATATATAATAAATTCGCTTTCCCCCATCCAATCCCGTATGCAAAACTGGTTTTTCAGGCACCAAAAGCTTTGCTTTGCAGGAATACCGGTGGGCTTTTGTAGACAGGGTTGAGCCAGTTTTCCAAGCATGCGCAGTGCCTCCTACTGTGAGCAATGCCTCCTATTGTGATCTAATCACTGGGTGATTTTCTCCAAGGGTCGAAGTGGGTAGGAGTTGGAATGGATGTAATGGTTGGAATGAAGGTGGGGCTGAGGATGTTATCAGCGCCTAAATGAGCTAGGAAATGCGACGTCCTAGAATAAGATACCAGCAACTCCAGAAGCCTTTACAACGGACTCCATCTTAAATATTACATGTGCAATGATTTACAGAAGTCCATGCCCAACGAGCTCTGGTGACCTAGTGGCAAGAAGCTGCACTGCAATCTGAGAGATGAGCGGTTCAAATCCACCAGATGCTCTGCTGGAGAAGGAGGAACAATTTCCTCCTGTACCAGTCAAATCTGATTTGAGGGTACACACACACAAATAATAATAAAAATAAAAAAAGAAGTCCATGCCCACGATAAGATAACAAGCACATGTCCTTTTCCTACCTAAAATTTATTTTTAAAAATTTCCTCCATCACAAGATAAAGGTAAATAATCCAGTAGAAAAATGGGCACAGGATATGAATAGACACTTCCCCAAAGAAGACATTCAGATGGCCAACAAGCACATGAAGAAATGTTCAAAATCCCTAGCTCTAAGAGAGATGCAAATCAAAACAACTATGAGATATCATCTCACCCCAGTAAGAATAGCAAAATTTAACAGAACAGCAAGCAACAAATGCTGGCGAGGTTGTGGGGAAACTGGAACCCTTATTCACCGTTGGTGGGAATGTAAAATGGTGCAGCCACTGTGGAAGGTGGTATGGCGTTTTCTCAAAAAGTTGCAAATGGAGATACCATTTGACCCAGCAATTCCACTACTGGGAATACATCCCAAAGAGACCATAACTGACATCCAAACAGATATATGCAGACCTATGTTTATCGCAGCTCTGTCACAATAGCAAGGAGTTGGAAACAACCCAGGTGCCCATCAACAAACGAATGGGTAGAGAAGCTGTGGTATATTCACACAATGGAATACCACGCTGCATTGAAAAACAAGGAATTCATTCAATAGTATTCAAAATGGGTGAGTCTGGAGGACATTATGCTAAGTGAAATATCTCAGCAGCAAAAGGACAAATATTGCATGGTGCCACTGCTGTAAAATGGGACTGATATCAGGGTGGGGGTAAGACTGAGAAAAACTGGATAAATTGTGTGTACTGCACTGAAACAGATGAGGGACTGAATAATTTAAAGGTGATGTATGATAGGGTATTATGGTTATCACAAGAGTCCACAATTAAGGCTGCATAGTGGAATGTACTTGGGGCGGTGGAAGGAGTGCGGGGGGATTGTGTACCAGGGTGGGAGTCTTTCTTTTACTTTTGAAAGAGAGGAGCGAACTGGGGGGCGGGGGGAGAGGGCTGGGCGGGGAGAGAAGTGCAGCAATGAATGAATGGAAATCCAAATTCTCTGTATGTGTTCATTAAAATTATTAAAAAGATAAAATATTATAAAAAATTTTTCTCGCTGCTCACCTCTCCCCCCAGGTCGCTCTTCTCTTTTGAAAAGAGAAAAATTCTCTCATTGTTATACAATCCCTCCCCCAAGTCCACTCCACTATGCAGCCTTCATTCTGGACTCCTGTCATGACAGTAATACCTAATCATATATCCCTTTTAAACAGTTCTCTCCCTCATCTTTCAATCTCCCTCATGTTTCAATGCAATATACATAATTTATCCGATCTTTCTCGGTCTCACCCCAACCCCGATGTCAGTCCTGTTTTACAACAGTGGCACTATGCAGTATTTATTGTTTTGTGACTGAGATATTTCACCCAGCATAACGTCCTCCAGGGTCACCCATTTTGTGTTAATACTTCATGAGTTCCTTGTTTTTTCACTGCAGTGTAGTATTCCATTGTGTGAATATACCACAGCTTCTCCATCCAATTTTTTGTTGTTGTTGTTGATAGGCACTTAGGTTGTTTCCAACTCTTTGCTATTGTGAACAAAACCGCGATAAACATAGGTGTGCATATATCTGCTTGGGTGGCGGTTATGGTTTCTTTGGGGTATATTCCCAGTAGAGGAACTGCTGGGTCAAATGGTATTTCTATTTGTAACTTTTTGAGAAAGCACCATACAGCTTTCCATAGTGGTTGCATCATTTTACACTCTGTATCTATTATGGAGCTGTCTCTGCATAATCAAGTTTTGCTCCAATAGTACCTCCGTTGGAACGAGTCCCAGCCTGCCAGCCTGCCAGCTGCCAGACCTTTATGCAGTTCAGCAACGGGAAGGTGCATACTGGGCCCTTTACCCTAGGAATTATGGACTAGAACTATTTGCACGTGGCCAAGCAGTCCCCGCCCACCGGGAAACGTCTTGCGTCATCACGCTGGAAGGAGGGGCGGAGGCGGAAGTCGCCTGGGAACTTGCCGAAAAAAGGCTGCTTGGACTTGTGCCGTGGTGGGCAAGCAAGCGAGGCTTCCCTATTAGGGGTTTAGCTACCGATGTGATAAATAAACAAACAGGTATCCTAAGGGGACTGGAGAAGCCGAGCCACCATGGCTGACGTCGGCTACATCCACCGCGTGGGCGAGGAGCGACCCTCGGGTGGGCCAGCGGGGCTGCAGTCCGCGAGGTTTGGGTGGGAGAGTTGCAGGGTGGTTTTCTAACTTAAAGCACGCAGGTCAGGGGGGCTCCTTGGCTCTAAAGAGCCTTTTCCAGCAGGGTAAAGAGGCAGAGGGGAAGTCAGCAGGGTCATGGATCCCCAGCGGGGTCCTGCCAACCCCCCGCGGCGGGATTTGAAGCGTGGTCTCCAAACTTAGGCCCCAAGAGTGTTGCACAGCGGTGTGTTCTCTGCATGGGACAGAGTATCAAAGTCCGGGCTGATTGTTAGGGCCCTCGGCGGGAGCCCCACTCCACCTGGCCGCTTAGCACCTTAGTGTCCTCTTGGTTTAGTTTTAGAGCAGAGGTTGCGGTGGCTCAAGACCCATATTTGTGGAGAGGAAACTGGGTGATACGCAACCTTGAATCCTTGAGTTGCAGGGCACGTCGCGGAGCCCCAGAATCCAGGGTTGGGGCTGGGGTGAAAGTGGCCTGGAATTTCTATTTGGATGGCGGTGGGATTGACCCAGTACAAACATTTCCGCAAGAGAAAAGGTTGTTGCCGTTGTCCATTCCCCGCAGTAATTGCGGAGTGGGGATGGTTCAATCAGGCATATATTCCAATCCTCTGTTGTTAGGGGCTCGGCTTAGGTTGTACATAAACCAAGCGCCATGGCTTCCCTGCTAGGGAGCGTATGTACTTGAGCCTGCAATTCTGAGTTACAGTGAAAACCCCAGAATTTACGTATCAAAGATCCGGTTAACCGAGATGGTGGTATCCGGAAAGATCCGGTTAAACGAGATGGGTGGTGGTTATCTGCTGTCTAGTCAGAACCGGCTCATAGCTGACCCTCCCATGGGTTTTCAGAGGCTTTAAATAATACAGGAGGAGACTGTCCATCTTTCTTTCGCCAAGCTGCTGATGTATTCGAACCACTTGCTTTTGGGGTTGTCAGCGCAAATCCTTACCACTAACCATGCCACCGGAGCTCCTAAGTGCTATGTTGTTTGACACTTCAGCGAACTTTCAGAGGTTGTAATCCCTGAGGAGAACACTGCCCGTTAGTCTTATCATGGAGCAGCTGATGGATTTGAACCTCTTTTTTTTTTTTATAATTTTTATTTATTTATTTATTTTATGTGTGTACCGTCAAATTGCATCTGACTGGTACAGGAGGCGATTGTTCCTCCTTCTTCAGCAGAGCATCTGGTGGATTTGAACCGCGCACCTCTGGGATTGCAGTGCAGTTTCCTGCCACTAGGCCACCAGAGCTCACCATGAACCTCTTTACCTTTGGGTTGACAGCACAATTCCTTACCACTAAGTCACCAGAGCTCCCTAAAATATTTATATACACACACACACACACATATATATATATATATGTGTGTGTGTGTGTGTGTGTGTGTGTATGTATATTTTTGTTGTTGTTAAGTGCCATGGAGTCATAGGTAATAACTCATAGCGACCCTGTGAACGAAAGACCTGGACACTTGTATAACTTTCATCCTTTCTCCAGGTTCATAGAGTTTCTGGAGGCAAGCTATTTTGGAAGTGGATGCCACTCCTGCTTTTATATATATTTATATATATATGATATACGTTGTTGCGATATACATACATGTTGCTGAGATAAACATGTTATTGATATATACATATATGTTGAGATATATATATTGTTGCGATACACATATGTTGAGTTACACATATGTTGTTGAGATAGACATATTGTTGTTGATTGCCATCGAGTGGAGCATGACTCATAGCAATCCTATGAACAAAAGGCCTGATACATCTATAGATATATCAGATATTTTTTACATCCCTCTTGTGTGGCCTCTCCTATGAAGACACAATCTGAGCCTGTTGAATTCAAGAAGGATCTTGTGTCTTATTTTGCCACTGAGCTCTGGCCAGTAGTGTCTCAAGGTAGAATTTTGAAGAGCCTGTGTGTAGTCCAATACTTTACTTTGGCACTTTGGAAAAATAACTTGGGAGATTCCCCACGCAGGCACCAAGCTCTGCTTCCTTGTAGCAGCAAGTTGGAGACATAGCTCTTGGCTTATTTCTTACCTCTGGAGGGTTGCTACTTTTTATTCAAGGGATTCCTGGAGTGGATGTTTTCTTGATAAACTGTAAACAGTTTCATGCTTTTAGTCTGTTCTCCACTGGTAATTAACAAGCCTCGACTTGATTGGCATCCCCTGAGTAATTGGGGATTGGCTGAACACTGGTCGGTGGTGGGGAGGATTTGCTTTATAACTAATATTCTTGTTGTGTACTATTGAGTTGGAACCGACCCATAGCTGACTCTCCAGTGGGTTTTCTTTTCTTTTTTTTTAAATTTTTGTGTGCGTGTACCGTCAAATCAGATCTGACTGGTACAGGAGGAGATTGTCCCTCCTTCCCCGGCAGAGCATCTGGTGGATTCGGACTGTGCGCCTCTGGGATTGTATCCAGTGGGTTTTCAAAGGTAGTTAATTATGCAGGAGGAGAGACTGCCTATCCTTCTACCCTAGAGCAGCTGGTGGATTTGAACTGTGTGTTTTTGGTATTGTAGCGCAGCTTCTTGCCACTAAGCCACTGGAGTTCCTTTGTGATTGATGATGGCCAGGATACTGAAGTGGCTGAAAAGCAGAGGTTTTTGAGACCTCCTATTAGAAGAGAGTGCAAACGGAGTGCTCTTTGGAGGCAAGAATGATGAGGCTTTACGTCACATACATTGGACATGTTGCTTGTTTTTGGTGTGGCACAGGATAGGGCGGGGTTCAGGTCTGTTGCATGGGGTCACTGAGTCGTATTGGACTCGATGGCACCTAACAATAACTGAAAAAGAAGGGTAGTCATGTAAAAAGAAAGCATGTCATGTAAAGAGGAAAGCAAAATGGGAAAACAGGAAAAGTCAGCAAGCAATAAATCAGTTAAGGTTCTGCCTTCCTATTCACCGAGAAGGGCATCTTTGATACAGGGTCAGAGGGTCTATTATGATACTGAAAAGGGAGTGAATATCAGCTATAGATTGCAGGGTGCAGAAGCAAACCACAAAGTGTCCTCAATTGTCCTTGTAGGCTAAAAGGACACTTCCTTTATTTTTTTTAAATTAATTATAGTGAACATTTACAGCGCTTTTGGATTTCCATTCATTTATTGCATTTTTCTCCCTGCCCACCGCTCCCCCTCAGTTTGCTCCTCTCTTTGAAAAGTAAAATTCTTTCATCGGTATACAATCTCCCCCACAAAGTACACTCCACTATGCAACCTTCATTCTGGACTCTTGTCATAACCATAACACCCACTCATATATCGCTTTTAAACTGTTCTCTCCCTCATCATTTTCAATGCAGTATACATAATTTATCCAATTTTTCTCAGTCTTACCCCAACCCTGATGTCAGTCCCATTCTACAACAGTAGCACTATGCAGTATTTTTTTTTGTGACTGAGATATTTCACTCAGCACTTCTTCCTTTTAAATTATTTTTTATAAAGTGTTAGCTTCACCTTATTACAGGGCATTGAAAAGGTTCCTTTCCTGTCACTTTCTTGTCTGGCAGCTGGATCCCGTGACATACACAGAAAGCAAAGTTGGGGTATTACCCTTTCAAGGCCGTCCTGAGCCCTGCAGGCGCTGGTTGAGTTAGGAGTCCTCAGAGTCTAGGGCCACAGGGGCTGAATGCAGCTGGACGCTTGGGCTTGTGCGTGAGCAGCAGAGGGCCACATGCCCTGGTTGGTCTGGAGGGAGAAGGAGGAGCCTTTTACTCAGTATGCACTCGCCTATGTCCTGTCTGTTCTGACTCATGGAGCAGGAACTGCTGTGGGACGTGGAGCCTGACTCTGCAGTGTTAGGGATAAGAAGGATGCAGTAAATTTTGACTGATAAGAGAGCGAGTCAAGGGACAGAGTTGAGGGCCTTTAGGGAAGACACGAATAAAGGTAGAAAATCCAGAGACTCCCTACAGATTGCAGATCTCTGTGGTGGTTCGGTGAGGAGGGTGTCAGAAGCTGGGTCTCTCCTAAGGGGGGCCTGTGTGAACAGTAACATCACATTGACTCTGCATCGCGCAGGTCCTGGATGCACGGAAGGAAGCGAGGTCCTTCCTGGAGTTTGAAGAAACCACCCCAGGCGACAGCAGAAGCGTGTGTGGAGATGACATGACCTCCAGCTGGCCCCGTGGCTGGATTTCAGGGCAGTCAACTGGACCAACCCTCGTGGCTATCACAGCGCCGGATCCTCGTGGCGGGGGAGAGCCTGGGATTGGAAGATTGTGCCTTCAAAGAGCAGGACAGATATGGCGACTGAGGCGAAGTTGACTGAGGAGCGTGAGGCAGATGGTAAGAGCTGTTGAGGGTTAGGAGGCCGTGAGGGACGGGGCACCAAGCTCCAGTTTCAGCTGAAGATCCTCCGGGCACCCCAGCTTTGGTCCACACGTGTGGCTCGGGGAGCAGGGAGTGAGATGGGAGGTCAGCGTTCCCACACCTTTCCTTCTTTCCTCCCCGTAGATCTATTCTCCAAGGTTCCTGACTGGCGCCAAGAAGAGCAGCTCCGAGATCTGGTGAGCTGGGACCCCCTCCCCTGAAGTGGCAGAAGTGCTGCCCATTTCAGAAAATAGCCTAGAATGCTCTTTCTTGGGAAGGGAAGCGGCCACTGGCATTTCAGCATCCCTGCCTTTCTGTCAGGGTCCATATTATGCATTTTTGAAGGGCTTCTGCATTTTCTTTTTCATACTGGAAAATGGACCCAGGATTAGTATTAAAACTCCAGGGAATTAAAACATGAGTAATATTTTTGTTACTTAAAATCAACACTCTTGGAAAACACTCCAACAGCAGCCAGGCAATCAAAGGACAATTTACCTGGGGTAAGTCTGCTCTCAGGGACCTCTCCAGAGTGCTGAAGAGCAATAGTGTCAATCTGGAGACTAAGGTGCGCCTGATCCAGGCTCTGGGTAATTGGGGATTGGCTCTGCGTCAGAAAGCCGGACAGGGACTAGGGATGTTAGGAGGAGAATTGATGCCTTTGAGCGGTGGTGCTGGAGAAGAGTATTAAATGGACTGCGTGGCTATCATTACTGATGTCAGATGGATCCTGGCTGAAAGTAAGGAATACTAGAAGAAAGTCTGATTGTGCTTTATTGACTGTGCAAAGGCGCTTGACTGTGTGGGCCATGACAAGTTGTGGCTGACACTGAGAAGAATGGGAATCCCAGGGCACTTGATGGTGTTCATCAAGAACCTTACCTGGATCAGAAGGCTGTTGTGCGAACAGAGTGTGTGAATGGAGCAGGGGAGCACTGCATGGTTTGGAATTGGGAAGGGAGTGTGTCAGGGTTGTATTCTATATCCATACCTGTTCAGACTGTATGCTGAGCAAATTATCTGAGAAGCCTCGAGTTGCAATACTTAACCATGATTTGGGCAGAATAGTAAGTGACGTATTAAAAAGTGTTAAAAGAAGATAGAAAGAGTATACAGTCACTGTACCAAAAGGAATTGGCTGACAGAAGAATTTTATGAAACAATGTATGAGCAAGAGCCTGTGGTGATAAAGGAAGAAGTCCAAGCTGCTCTGAAAGAATTGGCAAAAAACAAGGCCCCAGGAATTGGCGATATACCAGTTGATATATTTCAACAGATTCTGCCCTGGATGCACTCATCAAGTTGTGCCAAGAAATCTGGCACAAGAAGGGATCCATATTTTTGTTCGCATTCCAAAGAAAGGTGACCTGACAGATTATTAAACAATATCATTAATATCACATGCAAGCAAGATTCTGCTGAAAATTATTCAAAACCAACTAGAGCAGCACATCAACAGAGAACTGCCAGATGTACATGCTGGATTTAGAAGATGCCATGGTACTAGGGATATTACAGCTAACGTTAGATGGATTTTGGCTGAAAGCAGAGAACACTAAAGGAATATATATCTGTGTTTCATTGATTGTGCAAAGATGTTTGTGTGGATCACAACAAATTGTGGCTGACTCTGAGAAGGGTGGGAATGACAGAACACATGATTGTGCTGATGTGAAATTTATTCTTGGACCAGGAGGCAGCTGTCAGAACAGAGCCAGGAAACACTGCATGGTTCAAAATTCAGAAGGGTGTACGCCAGGAATGTGGCCCATCTCCATACCTATGCAGTCTGTATACAGAACTGATTATCTGGGAGGCTGGGCTCTATGAGGAGGAATGTGGCATCAGGATTGGAGGAAGACTCATCAATAACCTGCGTTATGCAGATGACACAACCCTGCTTGCTGAAACTGAAGCACTTGCTACAGAAGGTCAAGGACTGCAGCCTTCAATATGGATTGAAGCTCAACATCAAGAAAACAAAGATTTTCACCACTGGGTTGATTTGATAGGGGGTGAAGAGACTGCGATGGTTAACAGCTTCTGTTTGCTTGGCTTCCTTATCAACACTCTGATACCAGCAGCCAGGAAATCAAAAGACTCATTGGGAAAGTCTGCTATCAGGGACAGCTCCAGAGTACTGAAGAGCAATGACGTCAGTCTGGATACTAAGGTGCACCTGATCCAGGCCATAGTCTTTGCAGTTACATGCTGTGTATCAGAAAACTGGACAGTGACAAGGGGAACAGGCACGGGAGTGACTTCAAGGGGATTCTCCAGCCTGCTCCCAAACCAGACAGCACGACCATGCGGCCTGTGCCCTTGGCTAGCCCATCGTACTGGTAATCCTCCATCATGGACTCTCCTGGTCACTCACATGCGTGCTGCTGCGGTTCTCACAGGTCTCTCTCTGTGTTCTAGAAGGTGTTCTGTGCTTGTGGTGGGGCTTCCCGTGGATTTGATCACAAAGTCCAGAATACAGCACAGTCCAGAGGAACTTCCTGTGGAGAACAATCTTCTCAGCAAAGAATCGCATTAACCACTTCAGATGCAGGTTTTTTTTGGGGGGTCCCCGTTAAACGCTTGTCATTGGGAAAACTGATGGTGGTCGCCTTTGCTTGCTGACTCTAGGAGCCGGTCACCTTCGAGGATGTCACTGTGGGCGTGACCAGGGCAGAGTGGAAGGTCCTGACCTCCGAGCAGAAGAACCTGTACAGAGAGGTGATGGTGGACACGTACCTCAACCTGCTCTCGCTGGGTGAGGCTGCGCCCCCCTTTTCTGTTCCTTCCTTTATCACTGGTCATGTGTTGGCCACCTGCCGGGTGCTCCAGGAGCTTTGGTGGTGCTTGAGCATCCCACTGCCAACCAGAAAGTCAGCTGTTCAAATCTAGCAGCTGGTGATTCCACAGGAGGTGGAGGCTGCAGTAGAGATCTCGAGGTTCGGAGTCGCTGGGGAGCAGTTCTGTCTCTGGAGAGGCTGTGAGTTATAATCCCCTGACTACAAGTCGTTGTCCCAGTTTCCTGAATATCAGAAGGGAGCTCTGGGTGTAGTCCACAGGGAGGTGTTTGGGAGCCTCTTTTATGTTTGTTGTTGTTATGTGCCATCGAGCCGCTTGCAACTCATAGCGACCCTGTGTACAACAGCCCTAAACCCTGCTCTATCCTGTGCCAGTCGCACTGCCTCTGACACACCCATCCCGATTACCCAAGTCACTGAATCAATCCACCTCCTAGAGGGTCTTCTCCTCCTGCGCTGTCCCTCCACCCCACCAAGCATGATGGCCCTCTCCAAGGACTGGTCCCTCCTTGCTGCATATCCAAAGTATATCAGACGAAGCCCCAGAATCCTTGCCTTCAAGGAGCAGCCCTCTCCAGGATGAATCTGTTTTCTTGGCAGTCCATGGTACATTCAATTCTCTTCTCCAGCACCACAGCTCAAAGGCATCAATTCTCCTTCTATCCTAATCATTGTCCAACTCTCTGATGCACAAGTGATTGCAAAGACCATAGAGTAAATTGTGGTTTCCTAACAATATCCCATTGTGGAATCTCAAATGTTAACAGCTCTAGAGAACCAGACATAATAGCTGCTAGAATGATTTATTCTTAATTTTTTTTTAAATTCATACTTAATATATTTTATTATTTTTGTGTGAGTGTACCATCAAATCAGATCTGACTGGTGCTGGAGGAGATTGTCCCTCCTTCCCTGGCAGAGCATCTGGTGGATTTGAACCGTGCACCTCTGGGATTGTAGTTGCAGCTCCTTACCACTAGGCCACCAGAGCTCCCCTATTTTTAATTTTTATTATTTTGTGTGTGTGTGTGTACCATTGAATTGGATCTGACTGGTACACAGAAGGAGATTACCCCGCCTGGTGGATTCGAACTGCATACCTCTGGGATTGCAGTGCAGCTTCTTGCCACTAGGCCACCAGAACTCCCTTAGAATGATTTCTTTTAAATGTCTCTCAATCTCTTTTTTATGTAATAAGTCACAAAGGACCCTTCCACAGAGGTCATAGAACTGGTATTTCTAGGTAGTAGCAAGGTGTTTTGAGTGGTTGCTATGAGGTGCTGTTGCATCGCCTGTGCCTCACAGCAGCCCTTGAACAGTGGCCTGAACCCTGCCTGCCCTGTGCCATCCTCCTGGTCTCTGATTCACTCGGGCCCATTGTTAACAGTTGCCGTTTCCGTCCATCTTTACATATCAGTGTGACTTGGGAAGTGAATTTCTCTTAAAGCGTCTATCAGGCAGAAGCAGCGTCTGGAGCTTCCTTGAGCAGCTTCTAGTCTGACTGACATGCTGAAAAGGCTTTAGTGTGGTCTGTCATCCTCAAACATTGCAGCCACTTCATTCAGTTAGGGCCCTGGGGGTTTCTCCGCCCATAAATCTTAATGGACTCTGACGGCCACACACTTTCCCCACAGAGTGGTTGTTGCATTCAAACCACTGGCATTTTTTGGTAAACTGTTGAGTGCTTTAAGCATTGCATCACCAAAGTTCCTCCTATAACAGTGATAGTTGTTGTGTACCAGAAAGTCAGCACTGACCCATAGCTGATTTTTAGAGGCAGTTAATTGCATGGGAGGAGATTGCCTACCCTTTCCTGCAGAGCAGCTTGGTGGCCTCGAACTGTGTGCCTTTGGGATTGCGACGCAGCTTCTTGCCACTAGGCCACCAGAGCTCCGCTGCAAATGGTAAAAATGGAATATCAACGAATTAGTGGTGTGAGAGCTACTGTGTTGTGCAGGTGCAGTCATGGGGTACTCATAAGCTGCTTCTGACCCCGTGGCTACAGAGTGGCCGTGAAGCGCTTAATCATGCCCATCAGAGGCGAGAGGCTGCCTGTCTCAAGAGACGGAGGACAGTCCAGGCAAACCCCGTCCCGGCCGTTCTAATGGAAAACTTTCTCTCTCCAGCAGAAGCAAAGCCAGGCTTCCACTCCTGTCGCCTCTGCCTTCTGTCTTTCTGCTGTCGGAGGTTCCTGGGCCAGCACGTACTGGAGACCTTCCCAGGCCTGGGCTCAGATCATCACTTCCACCCGGGGGTTCCGGTCCTCAGGCAGAAGCTGCAGGAGGAGCGGGATTCCAGGGAGAGCTGCTGGAGTGGGAACTCTGACGATGAGGAGAGTGAAGTCTCCACACCCGGGTGTAAGGGAACAGGAACGGGAGTGACTTCAAAGGGCTTCTCTAGCCCTCTCCCAAATCAGACAGCACGCCCTGGAGAAGGCCATGCAGCCCCAATGGAAGGGGACCAAGGCTGGACGGCATTAGGAACCCCAAGGTTTGGCACCTCAGATGGTGACCTGAAATTAAGCCTCACCGTGAAGCCCGCAGCCCACGTCAAGGAGAAGGCCTTTGTGTGTAGCGAGTGTGGCCAGAGCTTTTACTGCAAGTCAAGTCTCATCAAACACCAGTGGACACACCCAGGGGAGAGGGTTTACATGTGCCTGGAATGCAAGCAAGCCTTTATGGAGGAGGCAGACCTCCTCGCACACCAGAAGACGCACTCGCTGGAGCAGAAGTCGTATGGGTGCAAATGCTGCGGGCGCCTCTTCACCCAGCGGGCCTCCCTGTCCAGGCACCAGCGCATCCACTCGGGGGAGAAGCCTTTCAAGTGCAGGGACTGCGGGCGCACCTTTGCCTGGAAGTCCAACTTGGTGAGGCATCAGGGGACGCACGTGGCAGGGTGGCTATACAAGTGCGACGAGTGCGGGGAAAGATTCGCAGAGAGGGGCCCCTTCCTCACGCACCAGAAGGCACACGCAGCCCAGGGCTCTCCCGTGTTCCTCAGGCGCGAGCAGGACGGCGGGAAAGCCCACCTCGTCATGTACCAGAGGACATACTCGGCGGACAAAGTGTACATGTGCCTGCAGTGTGAGCGGGGCTACACGCAGAAGACCCAGCTCATCAGACACCAGCGGTCCCACAGCAGCGGGAAGCCGTACGCGTGCAGGACGTGCGGCCAGGGCTTCTCCCGCAAGTCCTCGGTCATCCGGCATCAGAAGACGCACTCAGGGGAGAGGCCTTTCCAGTGCGCGCAGTGCGGCCGGCGCTTTACCTGGAAGTCGGCCCTGGTTAAACACCAGAGTACACACTCCACGGAGAAGCCGTACGCGTGCAGGGAGTGCGGTCGAGGCTTCAGGCAGAAGGTGGCCCTGCTCACGCACCAGAAGATGCACTTGGGTGAGAAGCTGTACGTGTGCATGGAGTGTGGGCGGGGCTTCACCTGGAACTCCAGCTTCCGGACGCACCAGAGGACACACTGGGGCGAGAAGCCTTTTGTGTGCCTGGAGTGCGGTCGGGGCTATACCTCCAAGTCAGAGTTCCAGCTGCACCAGTCGACACACACAGGAGAAGCCACACGCTTGCAGGAAACGTGTGCAAAGTTTTCTCCTGAAGATTCATCTCAGCACAAGTCAGAGGACACGGCCGGGGGCAAGGCCTTACATGGCCCTTAGTGTGACCTCTCAAGAGTACTGAAGAGCAACGACCTCAGACTGGAGACTTAGGTGCGCCTGATCCAGGCTATAGTCTTCACAATTGCGTGCTATGCATCAGAGAGTTGGACAGTGAATAGGGTTGACAGAAAGAGAATTGATGCCTTTGAGCTGTGGCACTGGAAAAGAGTGTTGAATACACCGTGGACTGCTAGGAGAACAAACAGGTTTGTCCTGGAGAGGGTGAAGCCGGAATGCTCCTTGGAGTCAAGGATTCTGAAGCTTCTTCTGACATACTTTGGGCATGTTGCAAGGAGGAACTGGTCCTTGGAGAGTGACATCATGTTTGGCAGAGTGGAGGGGTGGCGAAGGAGAGGAAGACCTTCGATGAGTTGGATCGATTCTGTGACTGGAGTGGTGGGAAAAAGTGCGTTTGTGATGGCTAGGTTGGCACAGGATAGAACAGCATTTAGAGCTCTTGTACATATAGGGTCGCTATGAGTCGCAAGCGACTCGATGGCACATAACAACAACAACAAAACAAGTGTGGCTGAGGCTTTATCCAGAAATCACCACCACTTGTGGGCAAGCCTGACGCTGACACACATGATTTACCCACAAGCAAGACTTCACTGCACACCACCAAAGACAGGTACGTTTACAGTGAGATTGGTCCAGGCTTTAGATGAAAGTCAGAGCTCAGCAGACACATTCAGGGGAGAAGTCTTAGGGATGTAGTGCAGGTTGTAACTGAAATCACTCTGTATCCAAGAAGAGAACACAAGACTAGAAGCTCTACATATGCCGGGATATTGAGCAAGAGCTTTGGAAATGGGCACACTTCAGAGCCCCCCGGGAAGAGCTGTGGGAGGGATCAGGCATTGGTGGGATCTTTGAGGAGGTGTTTTAGTAAAATAAGAGCAGTCTCCTCTCACATTTTTTTTTGTGGCCAAAGTATTTCATGCAATTATAAAATCATACTTGCACGTGACATGATACAGTCGACATGTTTACCATCAGAAGTGCATAGTCTCCATTTAGAGTTTACAAGTGAACAGAAAAGTATTTCATGCACACATTGAAAGAAGAGGTTTTTCCAGAAGTTCTAATCCTGGGTTCTGCAGCTGGTCATGTGGTCATAACTGATGTTTAGATCTACCTTCTTCTACTAGCTGCTTGGTGTTTCTTTGGCCCCCTAGCAAGTACCTCAGCTGCTCATAGCCTTTTGCCTGGTAGAGCAGTCAGCTTCCATTCCTGAATGATCTGAGCCACTAATCATATCAGAACTGGAGTGCTTCAGTTTTCCACTTTTAATCACAGGGCATGATAGTACTAGGTAACGAGCTGTTATTGTTATGTGCCATCGAGTTGCTTACATCTCATAGCAACCCTATGCACAATAGCTATGAAGCCTGTCCTACCCTGAACCAATCTCGCTGTCTCTGACACACCTACCTCCATTACCCCAGTTACTGAGTCGGTCTATCTCATCCAGGGTTTCTTCTTTTGCACTGTCCCTTCCCCCTTCCAAGCATGATGTCCTTCTCCAGAGACTGGTCCCTCCTGGCAACCTGCCCCAAATATGTCAGACAGAGCTTCAGAATTCTCCAAGAAGCAGCTCCATTTCACCCTCTCCAGGACAGACCTGTTTGTTCTCTTAGCAATCAATGTATGTTCAGTACTCTTTTTCCAGTACCACAACTCAAAAGGTATTGATTCTTCTTCTGCCATCCTTAGTCATTTTTCTAGCTCTCTGATGTATAGCAAGTAATTTTGAAGACCATGGCTTGGATCATGTGCACCTTAATCTCTAGACTGACATTGTTGCTCTTCAGGACTCTGGGAAGGTCCCTGACAGCCAATTTTCCCCAGTACAGTTTGTCTTTTGATTTCCTGACTGCTGGTGCCAAGAGTGTTGGTTGTGGAGTTGAACAAGATGAAACTGTCAACAACCTCAATCTCTTCTCCATTTATCAATGCTGCCAATTGGCCCAGTGGTGAGAATCTTTGTCTTCTTGATGTTGAGCTTCAGTCCATATTGAAGACTACAGTCTTTGACCTTCTGCAGCAAACACCTAAGGTCCTCCTCAGTTTCAGCAAGCAAGGTTGTGTCATCTGCATAACTCAGGTTGTTGATGAGTCTTCCTCCAGTCCGGACGCCACATTCCTCCTCATAGATCCCAGTCTCCTGGATGATCTGTTCCACATACAGATTGAAATGACCCGAGGAGTCTTTAAATGCCAAATGTAAGGGGAGCTCTGGTGGCCTAGTGGTAAGGAGCTGCAACTACAATCCCAGAGGCGCGGTTCGAATCCACCAGATGCTCTGCCGGGGAAGGAGGGACAATCTCCTCCTGTACTAGTCATAATCTGATTTGACGGTACACTCACACAAAAATAATAAAATAAAAATTGAAAAAAAAATCCCAAATGTAGTCCTTTTTTACTTTCATTATGGAATATCAATGCAGTTTCTGCTTGGGAACAAGGATAAGTCAATCTGAAAATATTGTCGTCCATTTGTTTGCTTCTGGATTCAGAGACTTGAGCAGCCCAAAGGGGCGGGTGGCATCCTTAACTTCCAGTTTAGCGGAGGAATCGAGCTTGTGCGTCCAGCTGGGAGTGTTCTTCCTTTTGGCAATTAAGAGTTCCAAAGCCACAGAGCTTCGGGTGCAGGGACAGGAAGCAGTAATTCTGTGAGCAGGGCACTGGAGTGATATCCTTTCTGCCCTTTGATTTCTGGACCTGCTACTCCTGGCAACTTCACATACTGGAGGCTGGTTTAGATTATACACAGCCCCCTGGAGGACATTGCCCCCACCCTGCAGAGTATTGTCACTTCACTGACACTCTTTAAGTGTGCCTTTTCTTAAAATTTGAAAGTTTACAGATCATTTTGGTGTTTCATTTAATCATTCACGGGGATTTTGTTTTATAACATGGTTTCATGTGGTTAATGAATTCTAATTTATGATCAAATGTGTGTACTGCCTTTCTTTTCACCCAGCTTATGTTTTTATTAGTTTTTGTTCCCCTCTGACCCGTCTCATCCCTTTTAATCCTCTACAGTAGAATCTATCCACACATAAACCTTGTCTTCGCTTTATGAGGGACCTTCCAGCATAGCTATCCTTTTGCGACTGACGCACTGCATACGCTGTTGTAAATTCATCCACATTGTACAATGTTTCGTGGATTCTTGATATTTTTTTAGTAATAGCCAGAGGCTGTGTTTCTCTGGAGGTTCAAATCCACTCCTGCCTCTGTCCTGCAAAGATGGGCAGTCTCCTCCTGGGCCATTTTCAAGCTTTAGAGTCAGAACTGACTCAATAGCACTTTGTTTTAATGCTCCATGATGTGAATGGACAGTACTTTCTGTAGCCATTCATTTGTTAATGGACATTTGAGTTGTTTCCAATTCTTTGCTGTTGTAAACAATACTGCAGTAAACATGGGTGTGTACATGTTAGTTTGTGTTACAGTTCTAGATCCAATGGCATTTCTATTCCCAGCTTGCTAAGGAAGTACCAAACTGCTGTCCATAGTTATTTTATATTCCCATGTGTTGTGTCTTTAAAAGACCATGCTGTGAGGGAGCTCTGGTGGCCTAGTGGCAAGAAGCTGCACTGCAATCCCAGAGGTACACAGTTCAAATCCACCAGATGCTCTGCTGGAGAAGGAGGGGCAGTCTCCTCCTGTACCAGTCGGATCCAATTCGACGGTACACACACACACACAAAAATTAATAATAATAAAAAGACATGCTGTGTGCTCCTGAGATATTTTACATGAAAGCCACGGCCATGATTCACGGTATATCTTTCAACACCATGTTGATGGTGTCTTATCCCAGGATGATTAGTTTTAGTTTATGTCTTGAAGGGATCCCTTTCTTCCTTAAAAAAGGGGGGGGAAATAGGGAGCTTTGGTAGCCTAGTGCTAAAAAGAGTTGTGCTTACCTCCCACAAGACACAAAGTTCTAATCCACCAGCTGCTACACAGGAGAAAAGATGGTCTGTCTCCTCCTGTAAGATTAAGCTGCCTCTGAAAAGCCACTGGGGGGTCGGCTGTGAGTCAGTTCCAGCTTCTCAAAACAGCGTGGAACCAAAGAGGCCATTCGATCATTTTCTCAAGCCAGCTGCTTTAGGATGACAGGGAGCATGGTAAGACCAGTGAATTCTACAAGCAGAGGCCCATTACCACACTCATTTGCTGTGGTTCGAGGCAATGCTGCATTGCATACCCTGACAGGGATAAGGCATTGTGTTAAGTCCATGGATGGTAGTGCCTTGTGTGCACACTGGGAAGGTAAACTATATCCAAAATAATGTCTCTTCCAGTAAGAACAGAACACTGCCCTCTCCACAGTCCAAAGGTCCAGTGTAATCAATCTGCCATCATATTGCTGGCTGATCACCCTGAAGAACGGTTTCTTGTCAGGGACTCAGTATTGGTTCCTGCTGCTGGCAAATTGGACACTCAGTAGTGGCTATAGCCAAATTGAACTTGTGAGTGGAGGTCCACTTTGCTGAGCCCATGCCTGACCTTCATCCTTCCACCAATGTCACTTGGACAGTGACAGGAGTTGCTGGAGAAAGAGGCTTATTGCCGTAGGTTCTATCTTAAATCAGCCTGATTGTTAAAATCCTCCTCTGCCAAGGTCACCCCATGGTGAGCGCTCACGTAAGATACAAATACCTTCATTTCTTTAGCCACTCAGAGTGGTCTTTCTACGTATTAGTTCCCTAAACCTCCCAGTCACCAGATTTCCAGTCATTTTCCTTCCACGTACCTGACCATTCAGCCAAACTATAGGCCACAGCCCATGAATCTGCATGTAAACAACATCTTGCTATTTCTGTAACATAAAACGCACAACCAAGTGCGCTGCTCAAAGTTCTGTGCCCATTGGGAGCACCTCCCTCCTCTGCCTTTTCAGGGAGATCTTGGAACAAGCACCGCTGCTTCCCACCTCCGAGTGGTGCCTGCATACCATTGAGAACCTTCTGTAAACCACGTCT